GCTCCCCACAACCCGCCCGGTGCACCCCATCCCGGTGCATCCCTGCTCCCCACACCCCGCCCGGTGCACCCCATCCCGGTGCATCCCTGCTCCCCACACCCCGCCCGGTGCACCCCATCCTGGTGCATCCCTGCTCCCCACACCCCGCCCGGTGCACCCCATCCTGGTGCATCCCTGCTCCCCACACCCCGCCCGGTGCACCCCATCCTGGTGCATCCCTGCTCCCCACACCCCGCCCGGTGCACCCCATCCTGGTGCATCCCTGCTCCCCACAACCTGCCCGGTGCACCCCATCCCGGTGCATCCCTGCTCCCCACACCCCGCCCGGTGCACCCCATCCCGGTGCATCCCTCTCCCCACACCCCGCCCGGTGCACCCCATTCCGGTGCATCCCTGCTCCCCACACCCCGCCCGGTGCACCCCATCCCGGTGCATCCCTGCTCCCCACACCCCGCCCGGTGCACCCCATCCCGGTGCATCCCTGCTCCCCACACCCCGCCCGGTGCACCCCATCCTGGTGCATCCCTGCTCCCCACACCCCGCCCGGTGCACCCCATCCCGGTGCATCCCTGCTCCCCACACCCCGCCCGGTTCATCCCATCCTGATCCATCCTGCCCGGTTCATCCCATCCCGGCGCATCGCTCCCTGCTCTCTCATCCTGCCCACTGCCTCTGCCCACCCAGCCCAGCGAGCCCCGGTGCCGGTCCCGGTGCCGGTCCCGCTGACCCCCCTCTCCCCGCAGTCCCCTACAAGTTCTTCTCGGAGGCGCAGGGCCTGAACGAGAAGCGGAAGCAGCGCCGGATCCGCACCACCTTCACCAGCTCCCAGCTCAAGGAGCTCGAGCGCGTCTTCGCCGAGACCCATTACCCCGACATCTACACCCGCGAGGAGCTGGCGCTCAAGATCGACCTCACCGAGGCCCGGGTGCAGGTGAGGGGCAGCGGGGGGGCCCGGGGGGGACAAGGTCCTGCCGCGAGGCCGGGCAGGGGCGCCTCAGTGCTGGGTGGTTGCGCACAAACCTGCAGTGGCTGCGCCTAAACCTGGGGGTGCAGCTCAGCGTTGGGTGGCTGCACCTGGACTTGGCTCCTTGCACCTCAGCGTTGGGTTGATCGCACCTCATCATTGGGTGGCTGCACCTCGGCTTTGGGTGGCTGCATCCCAACCTTGGGTATCTGCATCCCAGCCTTGGGTATCTGCATCCCAGCCTTGGGTGGCTGCACCTCATCATTGGGTGGCTGCGCCTCGGCTTTGGGTGGCCTCATCCCAACCTTGGGTGGCCGCATCCCAACCTTGGCTGGGTGCATCCCAACCTTGGGTGACTGCATCCCAACCTTGGCTGGGTGCATCCCAACCTTGGGTATCTGCATCCCAGCCTTGGGTGGCTGCACCTCATCATTGGGTGGCTGTACCTCATCATTGGGTGGCTGCACCTCGGCTTTGGGTGGCTGCATCCCAACCTTGGGTATCTGCATCCCAGCCTTGGGTGGCTGCACCTTGGCTTTGGGTGGTCGTACCCCAGCCTTCGGTGGCTGCATCCCAACCTTGGCTGGGTGCATCCCAACCTTGGGTGTTTGCATTCTAACTTTGGGTGACTGCATCCCAACCTTGGGTGTTTGCATTCTAACTTCGGGTGGCTGCATCCCAACCTCGGGTGGCCGCATCCCAACCTTGGGTGGCCTCATCCCAACCTTGGGTGTTTGCCTTCTAACTTCGGGTGGCTGCATCCCAACCTCGGGTGGCCACATCCCAACCTTGGGTGTTTGCATTCTAACTTTGGGTGGCTGCATCCCAACCTCGGGTGGCCGCATCCCAACCTTGGGTGTTTGCCTTCTAACTTCGGGTGGCTGCACCTCAGCTTTGGGTGGCTGCGCCCTGATCCTGGCTTTTCACGGGCTGGTTTGGGCTGGAAAGGACCCAGAGCTCCCCCAGCCCCCGGACACCTCGCACCCCACCGGCCCACCCAGGGCCCCCTCCAACGTGCCCTTGCCTGATCTCACCTCCCCCTTGGGGGTGCTCCCGAGCCCCGGGACCCTCCCGCGAGGAGCCCGCGGGCTCCGCTGCTCCCGGGGGCGGCGCTGGGGGCTCGTCCTGCCCCGCTCTTCCCCCGGGGGGGGCTCGGGGCTCAGTCCCCGGCTCTGCCCCACGGCCCCCCCCGTCCCCAGGTGTGGTTCCAGAACCGCCGCGCCAAGTTCCGCAAGCAGGAGCGGGCGGCGAGCGCCAAGGGCGGCGGCGGCGGCGGCGCGGGGGGGAAGAAGCCGGAGCCGCGCTCGCCCTCCGAGGACGAGGACTCCAAGGAGTCCACGAGCAGCCCCGCTCCCGACAGCACCGCGTCCCTGCCCGCGCCCGCCAGCCCCGGCCCCGCGCCCGCCCCGCACGGCCTCAAGGCTCCGGCGTGGGCCGCGGCGGGCGCGGAGCTGCTCAAGGGCTGGCAGCAGCCCCCGGAGCCCGCACCCGGGCCCTTCTCCGGCGTCCTCGGCTCCTTCCATCGGAAGCCGAGCGGGCTCAAGGCCAACCTCTTCTGATGGGGCCCCGGAGCGCCCCCTCCCGCGTCCCACGGGACCCCCCCCCCTTCCCCGGGGGGAGGAAGCACTTTAGGGGTGGGGAAGGGGGGGCACAGGGTGCTGAGCGGGTTCCCCCCCGCCTGGCAATGGGGTGATGCTCACCGGGAGTACCGGGGGTGATGCCAACGGGAGCGGAGGCACCGGGAGCAGCCACTGCCCCCCCCCCCCCCCCCATGTGCCAAATCTCCCCCTGGATGGGGCTGGAGCGGGATGGACCCCCCCAAACCACCAGTGGGACCCCTCGGAGGAGCAGGGACCCCCCGCCACAGTGCCCATGTGAAGGGGTCCCGGGGTGACACACACACACACACACACACACTGGGGGGGGCCTCCGGTGTATGGGGGGGTGGGGGGGTGGTTTTTAACCGGTTGTAATTTATTGCCCTGTTTGCAAATGGCGTTAATCCAATAAACTTAATTTATTGATGAGGCACCAGCCCCCCCCCCCCCCCCCCCCGGACCCCCATCAATGACCCCCCCGACCCCCATCTCTAGGGACCGCTCCCCCTCCACTGACGATGCCGCCCCCCCCCACCAAGGACCCCTTGGGACTCCCCCCCCGCACTCCCCTCATTGACCCCCCCCTCCGGGTCAACACCCCCATGGGCAGCCCCCCCCCATAGCACGACCACAGTGGCCTCTCACGTGGTGCTGGGACCAGTAAAACCAGTATGGAAGGGCCACTCCACGCTGAGACCAGTATGGCCAGTCCAGAGGGTCCCCACCTTAATGGGAACAGCCCAGAGCATCTCCCACCATACTGGGACCAGTGTGGCCGGTTACTGAGGGTCCCCATCATGCTGGGACCACTACAGCCAGTTTGGAGGGTCCTGGACTATACCGGTCCCAGTACAGCCAGTCTGGAGCATCCCATCCACTCTGGCACCAGTACAACCAGTGCGGAGGCTCCTGGACCACTGTGGTTCCCAGTTCCCCCATCCCACCCGCCTCCCCACGTCAATCCCGGGAACCTCCGGGTGGGTCCATCCCGCTGACCCACAGGGAACCCCTCAGATCCCGGGATATGGACACGGACACGGACACGACTCGAGGCTTTACTGGGTCAAGTTCACACCAAAGGGGGTGCGGGGGGGTCGGGCCCATCCTTCATCTCAGCCGGAGCAGAACTGGGGGGACACGGGGGGGGGGGGGGGGGGGGGGGGCCCGATGAAGGGAGGAAGGAGATGGGGGGGCTGGGAGCACCCATCACCCCCTCATCATCCCCCATTGATCCTGGGGTGCAGGCCATGGGAACAGGGAGAGCCTGGGGGGGACACACTGATGGGTGACCCCCACCATGGGGACCCCCTGTTCTGGGGACCACCCCATCTTCGGGACCCCCACCATGGGGTGACCCCCACCCCTAATGGTGATGCCCCATCCTGAGCATCCCCCACCATGGGGGACCCCCATTCTAGGGAGACCCTGGGGACCCTCCCTGGAAGGGCACGTGGTGAAGCTGGGGGTTGAGCACCCATGGGGGGGTCTGGGGAGCACCCATGCTGGGGGTCCTGGTTCCAGCCCTGCTGCCCCCAAGGGTGACGCAGCCCCAGGAGGGGACGGATCCAGTAAGCAGTACCTGATGGGCAAACTGGGGATGGGGGGGGGGGGGGGGCACCCCAAGGCACTGGTGGTGATGGGAGGGGGCGTTGGGTGAAGGCACTGGTGGGGTTCTGCTGTGGTGGGACCCCATGGGTGGGGGTGGGACCCTACTGGTGATGATAGGACCCCACGGGTGGTGACGGGATGCCATGGTCGTGATGGGACCAGATGGTGGTGATGGGATGCCATGGTGGTGACGGGATGCCATGGTCGTGATGGGACCCCATGGTAGTGATGGGACCCTATGGTGGTGATGGGACCCCATGGTAGTGATGGGACCCCATGGTGGTGATGGGACCCCATGGTGGTGATGGGACCCCATGGTGGTGATGGGGCCTCATAGGTGATTGCAGGACCCCATGGGTGGTGATGGGAACCTATGGGTAGGAATGGGCACTCTGAGGTCTCCCTGGTGTCACCCATGGGGGCTGGTAGAGCACCCCCATCCCAATCCCATCCCATCCCATCTCCCGTTTCCCACATCCCATCTTGGCATCATGAAGGCACTTGGGTTGAGCCACAGCGTTGCTCAGAGCTTCCTCCTCCCTGGGTGCAAGGGGCCATGGGGGCACCCTGAGGTCCAGGGGGGGGGTGGGTGGGTGTCACCCCAACCCCCCCCAAGACCCCCCAATAAATAAGAAATAACTTAACCAAGGGGAGCCCCATGATGGGACCCCCTGAAATTGTCTGACCAGGTCCCAGCACCCCCAACCCCCCCCTGCACCCCCATTGCCCAGCGTCCAGGATGGGGGGGTCCTGGTGATGCTGGTGGGGATCCGGGCCAAGGGGATGCAGATCCGGGATGCAGGATCCAGGATGCTGCAGGGATGCAGGATCTAGGATGCTGCCGGGATGGGGGATCCAGGATGCAGGATCCAGGATGCGGGATCCAGGATGCAGGATCCAGGATCCAGGATGCTGCCGGGATGGGGGATCCCAGCTACTTGCGGAGCTGGAGGCTCTCCAGGAGGACCCCGCTTGTGGCCCGGATCCCGCACTCCGGCCTCCTCCAAGTCCTCCTCCGTGATGTCACTGGGGGGGGGGCACACACATGGGGGTCACAGCGCCAAAGGGGGGCACCCACACTTGGGGGGGGCACCCAGCCCATGGGGTTCCCGGGTGCACACCCAGGCTCTGGCTATGGGGTGATGCAGTGTGGGGGGGGGCAGCAGGGATGCTCCCAGGGGCAGTGGGGACCCCCCGGGGGTCTCCCCAAGGGCAGAGTCTCCCCCCACCACGCCGGCACCCGTGGTCCCCCCCAGGGAGGATGCGATGGGTCGGGGGGGTGACGGGGGGAGGGTCCTGGGGGGTGTTTTGGGGCCGTCCCCCCCCCCGCTCACCTGAGGAACTCGAGGTCGTCCCAGCCGTTGTGCACCAGCCCCTGCTCGTACCTCTGCAGCCCCAGGGCGCGCAGCCAGACCCCCACAGCACCCCCGGCACCCACCGCCTGCGGAGAGCACCCATCAGTGCCAGGGCACCCACAGCACCCCCGGCACCCACCGCCTGCGGAGAGCACCCATCAGCGCCAGGGCACCCACAGCACCCCCGGCACCCACCGCCTGCGGAGAGCACCCATCAGCGCCAGGGCACCCACAGCACCCCACAGCACCCACTGCCTGTGGAGAGCTCCCACTGCCACCCCACTGTCACCCCCCAGCACCCACTGCCTGGGGAGAGCACCCATTGTCACTCCACAGCACTCACAGCACCCACCTACACCCCATAGCACCCCACGGCACCCACCCATCGGTTCCACAGCACCCCCAACATCCACCCGCAGCACCCCACAGCCCCACAGCCCCCTGGGGGTCTCCCCCAAAAGGAACCACAATAAGGGACACTGGGGGGGTCTCATCATGCATCAACCCCCATCACCCTACACCCATCTCCTGCTCCCATCACCCATCTCGCATCTCCCATCTCCTGCTCCCATCTCCCATCTCCCCATCACCCATCTCCCACCACCCATCTCCCACCTCCCATCTCCTGCTCCCATCACCCATCTCCCATCTCCCATCACCCATCTCCCACCACCCATCTCCCACCTCCCATCTCCTGCTCCCATCACCCATCTCCCATTACCCATCACCCATCTCCCATCAACCATCTCCCATTACCCATCACCCATCTCCCATCACCCATCTCCCATTTCCCATCACCCATCTCCCATCTCCCCCCCATCTCCCCCCATCTCCTATCACCCATCACCCATCTCCCATCACCCATCTCCTATCTCCCATCTCCCATTACCCATCACCCATCTCCCATCTCCCATCACCCATCACCCATCTCCCATCACCCATCTCCCATCTCCCATCACCCATCTCCTATCTCCCATCTCCCATCACCCATCTCCCATCTCCCCATCACCCACCTCCCATCACCCATCTCCCATCACCCATCTCCCATCTCCTGCTCCCATCACCCATCTCCCATCACCCACCTCCCATCACCCATCTCTCCCCCATCTCCCATCTCCCCCCATCTCTCCCCCATCTCCCCCATCTCCCATCTCCCATCTCCCCCCATCTCCCCCCATCTCTCCCCCATCTCCCTCCATCACCCATCTCTCCCCCATCTCCCATCTCCCCATCTCCCCCCATCTCTCCCCCATCCTCCCCATCCCATCTCCCATCTCCCCCCATCTCCCCCCATCTCTCCCCCATCTCCCTCCATCACCCATCTCTCCCCCATCTCCCATCTCCCATCCCCCCCATCTCTCCCCCATCTCCCCCATCTCCCATCTCCCATCTCCCCCCATCTCCCCCCATCTCTCCCCCATCTCCCTCCATCACCCATCTCTCCCCCATCTCCCATCTCCCATCTCCCATCTCCCCCCATCTCCCCCATCTCCCCCATCTCCCATCTCCCATCTCCCCCATCTCCCCCCATCTCTCCCCCATCTCCCTCCATCACCCATCTCTCCCCCATCTCCCCCCCATCTCCCCCCATCTCCCATCTCCCATCTCCCATCTCCCCCCATCTCTCCCCCATCTCCCATCTCCCATCTCCCCCCCATCTCCCATCTCCCATCTCCCATCTCCCATCTCCCATCTCCCCCCCATCTCCCATCTCCCCCCCATCTCCCATCTCCCATCTCCCATCTCCCATCTCCCCCCCATCACCCATCTCCCATCTCCCATCTCCCATCACCCATCTCCCATCTCCCATCTCCCATCTCCCATCTCCCCCCCATCTCCCATCTCCCATCTCCCATCTCCCATCTCCCATCTCCCATCTCCCATCACCCATCTCCCCCCCCATCTCCCATCACCCATCTCCCCCCCCATCTCCCATCACCCATCTCCCATCTCCCATCTCCCATCTCCCATCTCCCATCTCCCATCTCCCATCACCCATCTCCCATCTCCCATCTCCCATCTCCCATCACCCATCTCCCCCCCCCCATCTCCCATCACCCATCTCCCATCTCCCATCTCCCATCTCCCATCTCCCATCTCCCATCTCCCCCCCCATCTCCCATCACCCATCTCCCATCTCCCATCTCCCATCTCCCATCTCCCATCTCCCCATCTCCCATCTCCCATCTCCCCCCCATCTCCCATCTCCCCATCTCCCATCTCCCATCTCCCATCTCCCATCTCCCTCCCCATCTCCCATCTCCCATCTCCCCATCTCCCATCTCCCCATCACCCATCTCCCCCCCCATCTCCCATCACCCATCTCCCATCTCCCATCTCCCATCTCCCATCTCCCATCTCCCATCTCCCATCACCCATCTCCCATCTCCCATCTCCCATCTCCCATCACCCATCTCCCCCCCCATCTCCCATCACCCATCTCCCATCTCCCATCTCCCATCTCCCATCTCCCATCTCCCCCCCACCTCCCATCTCCCATCACCCATCACCCATCACCCATCTCCCATCTCCCATCTCCCATCACCCATCTCCCATCACCCATCTCCCATCTCCCATCTCCTGCTCCCATCACCCATCACCCATCACCCATCACCCATCTCCCATCACCCATCACCCATCTCCCATCTCCCATCTCCCATCTCCCATCTCCTGCTCCCATCACCCATCACCCATCACCCATCACCCATCACCCATCTCCCATCTCCCATCACCCATCACCCATCACCCATCTCCCATCACCCATCTCCCATCACCCATCACCCATCTCCCATCTCCCATCTCCCATCTCCTGCTCCCATCACCCATCACCCATCACCCATCACCCATCTCCCATCTCCCATCACCCATCTCCCATCTCCCATCTCCCATCTCCCATCTCCCATCACCCATCTCCCATCTCCCCCATCCCCTGCCCTCCCCGCCCTCACCTCCTCGGCCAGTTCCTCCTGGATGCTCTCCCTGATGGGGTGCGTGCGGAAGGCGGCCCCCGCGCGCCCGTGCTCGTGGGGCAGGCGCGGGCCGGCCCCGAACTCCTCCTCGCTCAGGCTCTTCGCCATCTGCAGCACGGAGCAGGAGCCGTCGGCGGCGCCGGGGCCCGGCTGCAGGCGCGGGGGGAGCCCCTCGGTGGGGCCGGGCCGGGGCCGCGGCTCCTCCCGGCCGGGGCTCCTTGGCCACGTCCCTTGGCAGCGGCGGCGGGGGGAAGTCGGGCGGGGGGAGGTTGAGCGCGTCCTCGTCCTCGGAGCTCCCGTCCCGCGGCGCGGGGGGGCTGCAGGCGCGGCGCCGGTGCGGGACCCCCTCGAGCACGTAGTAAGCGGGGTTGTTGAAGCTGGTGTGCAGCGGCTCCGGGTCCGGCCGGGGCCTGCGGGGGGGGCACGGCGGGGGGTACGGGTGATGGGTACGTGGGTGGTGGGGGGCATGGGTGATGGGTACGTGGGTGGTGGGGGGGGAACTTGGGTGATGGGGGGGCATGGGTGATGTGGGGGCATGGGTGATGGGGGGGGCATGGGTGATGGGGGGGGCATGGGTGATGGGGGGGGCATGGGTGATGGGTACATGGGTGGTGGGGGGTACGGGTGATGGGTACGTGGGTGGTGGGGGGGGCATGGGTGATGGGGGGGGGCATGGGTGATGGGGGGCATGGGTGATGTGGGGGCATGGGTGATGGGGGGCATGGGTGATGGGTACATGGGTGATGGGGGGGCATGGGTGATGTGGGGGCATGGGTGATGGGGGGGCATGGGTGATGGGTACATGGGTGATGGGGGGTACATGGGTGATGGGGGGCATGATGGGTGATGGGTACATGGGTGATGGGGGGGTACATGGGTGATGGGGGGCATGGGTGATGTGGGGGCATGGGTGATGGGGGGGCATGGGTGATGGGTACATGGGTGATGGGGGGTACATGGGTGATGGGGGGCATGGGTGATGTGGGGGCATGGGTGATGGAGGAGCATGGGTGATGGGTACATGGGTGATGGGGGGTACATGGGTGATGGGGGGCATGGGTGATGGGGGGTACAGGTGATGGGGGGGCATGGATGATGGGGGTACATGGGTGATGGGGGGTACATGGGTGGGGGGGTACGGGGGGAGTACATGGGTGATGGGGGGGGGACTTGGGTGATGGGGGGGCATGGGTGATGGGGGGTACATGGGTGGTGGGGGGGCATGGGTGATGGGGGGCATGGGTGATGGGGGGGCATGGATGATGGGGGTACATGGGTGATGGGGGGTACATGGGTGATGGGGGGTACATGGGTGGTGGGGGGGCACAGGTGATGGGGGGGGCATGGGTGATGGGGGGGCATGGATGATGGGGGTACAA